ATCTTATACTTTTCGTGTATCCGTTGTCTTATCCTTTTTGGTACCAAGTTTCTATACCTCTTCTCTTTTATGTCCTTGTTTCTTCATTCCCTCCCTGGCATTTGTTCATTCTTTCTTGTTCCCTTTTTCAATTTATGCACAGCTATGATCACAGAATTCTTTAGATTCATAGAAACTTCTGTAAGATGCTTCTTATGTCTCTATTGACTTATCACTCTTGGTGCCATCTCTCTTCAATGGTTCTTTCCATCTTCATAATAAGTTCATTTCTCTCCCTGTTTCCTTCCCTCCTAATGTCTCTCTCTCTCTTTTCCTTCTTTAACATACTGCAGATGTTTAAGTCTCCTTTGGATTCCCAAAAAAAGGTTAACAATGAAATTCCTAAACATCTGAAATTGGTATGGTCGACATTTCTCTCTAAAGGGACATTTCAGCAGAATATCATTTGGAACGCTGACAAAGGTTATGCCTCAGAGTTCATGACTGAACTGTAATGGCTACATTGTCCTTCTGGGATCCACTTCTGATAGATACAATATATCTGATGTAGAATTATAAACATATTATTGTCTGGGGCAGATTATAGTCCTGCCAAGTTTGATATTAAAGACATTATTCATATTGCTCCTAATTCTATAATCTTCCCCCACTGCAGCATAAGATGTCTGGGGGACTATTAACGGCAAGATTTTTGGACAAAATCCAATTCCATCCTGCTTTGATCCCACATTATGAAGTTTTGTAATCCGGAGGGTTTGGGAGTCCATTAGAGGACATGTAATATGCACGAAAGGTTTAATGACAAAAGAAAGCAAAAAGGGCACTTTCTCATAGAATTATATAGTAACAAGCAAAACTGCCTATCTGTTATTTTAGATGGCTGCTCCAGTGATCAAAGGGAAGCAAATCCATCAGTTCTTAACTTTGAAAAAGACTTTGAACCATACTTAGGCCATGTTGATTTGATTATATGGATGACATCCTCTGGGAGCCCCAAAACTGATGCGCGTGCGAATAAAAAAAAAGTTTTGCAAAAAAAAAATTAAAGTTCTTTTCATTATGAAACAGTGTTCCCGCCAGGCATGCGTCCTTGCATCGTTTGGACGCACTATTTGGGGAAAAGACGCACTCCGTCCAGCTGAGTGCGTCCAAAAAAATTCAAAGGGTGAAATGACCTGTGCCACCAATGGGTGGATTCTTTAAAAAATATCTCCGTTTGAAGAAGTAGTAAGCCTACTTCTGCGATCTGTACTTCGATTCCTCCCCGCCCCTGTTATCCAGGTCCAGGAAACGGCCGAAAATTCATGCGCGCGCAGATGTCATCCATATAATCAAATCAACATGGCCTTAGAGAGTAATGCTGATAAACAATAAGCTGAGGTAAGGCTACATAAATACCCATACATACAGTCATGTATATGCAGTTCTGAGACTTGGTAAATCGAAAACATAGCAAATCACTGTCTACTAATATCAGTCTGTGTATGTTGCTTGTCCAATAAAATACTGTTAAAATAATAATCCGCTAATTGTTCTTACCTGAGTACAAACAACAGCAGAAGGCTAACTCCTCACTGTAAATGATGAGTCAGACATAGTTATCTCATAATGTAGTACAACAAACCTGGCAAAGTCTCCAACTATTAAACAGCAATAGGCTGCAAGATCTGCCAGCTGCAGTAGATGAATCATGACTAAACTGGGTCTGGCTCACCAGAGCAAACCTCAGGGGAGGGGTTGGTTACTTCAAACAGGTAGAGTGACAACAAACAACAAGGAACAGAAGGAGGGGGCACTGACCCCAACATCTTGAATGTCTGTGGTTGCTAACAAGCATAGCTTCTACCCCATGCTGAAAGTCTAGTACCCCCCACCAGACTCCATTTAAACTGATGTTTGCCAGCTACAGCCATTTCTAGTTTGAAGCTCTCCTGTCTGGCTACATCTCCTTTTCATGAAACTATTCACCCAATTTCTAAATTTTTTTCTAAGTGACTAAACTTCAGCATGTAAAAGAACCCAACACACTTATCAAGAAGAGTAGGTTTAACCCAGTGTGTTTGGCTAAAAATACAAGCAGAAAAGGCATCACGCTTTGCCTCAAGCATTACACTTGAAGTTTGACCTACTTTGGGATATTCAAAGGGATCAGCTCTTTGTGATTTATAATGTTTGCCACCATTGATAACCTTTGCATTTGGTAAGAACACTCAAGTAACTGGTGAAGTAGCAAGTACTACATCATGTCTTTTTTAGCATTACCTGTTCAAGAAGATACCAGGAAAAAGCTGAGCTACGGTGAGTGTTTGGAAATGGAACCAGTGAACCTGAAAATAGGGATGCTGTGTGTTAATACAGAAGAGGTTATATGTGAGGGAAGCTATTAGCTTTCATGAAATAGCAATATTCAGTTTCTACTTCTAAGCACACAAGCATTTCTTAGTGTCTGGGAGGGAGTGGAGGCCTGAGAAATCTCTCCCTTGACATGTCAACTATTAGGCCTAGGAAAAAATGTTGTGTTTCCTGTTTCAGTCCTGAAAAAATTGGGGTCAGTAGGCAGGGATGTCTTTTTTTTTCTTTCCTTTTTTAATTGACTTTGGCAATCTCTAGTTATACAATACAGTTTAACAAAGTAAAACATGCATGAGGACACTGATATTTTCAATGTCAGTTTTGGAAAACTGATTGCACTACGTTTTATCACGTTTTGCCAGATCATTGAGTAAGAAATGGTCAATTGGCTCGTCCCTTGCATGGGTCCACCCAAAAAAAGCCTAGGGTCGGCAGCTTTTTCTAGGGTCGGTCGGGAAACAGGACATTTTTTTCCTAGGCCTTAAACAGTATCCTGCACTGCCTGAGATTCCAGAAGATCAAGATCATGACCTGGAGTAGACTTCCCTGCCACCCAGCGACTCAAACATTTTTCTGGCCAGCCCACACCACAGTCTGGGTGGTGCGCTGCATACCAAGATCTGTGTTTTGACAGGACTGAGAAATATCAGACCAAGCAATATACTATCCATTTACACAAAGAGCTCACCGAAATCCACTCCTGTAATTCTGGGGAGCAAAAATAATTACATAGCTCTGCTCAGATGCTTTAAAAATGTCTAAGTAAGCCCGAATAAATGTATGTTGGAGACGCTCCAAAACCTGTTCCATATACAATCCTATATAGTATGTCACCATAGATGGAAAAGGGAAGTTCTGTGTCATAACTTATATAACAACAAATGGCTCATGTCAGAAGTTACAAACTAACAACTCTTTAACAATCAAAAGTGCCAGTTCCCTACTGGTGCACACACCTCATTGGATTTACAATACAAACAAGAATTTATGTACTGGTTACACTTGAAGAATTAAAGCAGCTCTGTAGCTATATCATTTCTTTTATCTGATCAAAACCGTACAGTAGAAACTTTTGGGTCTCAAATAGTGCTGTTGAGAAATTAAATTAAAACTGTGCCTTCAAAAGACTACCACAAGACGTATGTCCTTATTCCAAGCCATACATATCAGGACACAGAGTGGTTTGTCACTGCATTATCTGGAGAAAACTCTTAAAAGCCTGCTTGTCAAGTTTATATGCTGTTTTCTTCCCCCAGGACCTGCTATCACAGCTATGATGAAGTCCCCTGTCCAGTTATAAATGAACAACATGGAAAGGCTCTTGTCAGCGAGGCTATTTCCACCAGATGCAAACATGAATCATCGCACAATAGGTATAAATCATGTCAGCAATCCTGTCCACATCCTGGCGTAGACCTGGGTGCTGGTTGAATTTCAAAGTTGAAAAAAAGTTCAACCCCTTCCACAATCAATGAAATCAACATATCAAGCATTAAAATTCAGTGTGACTCATCATCTGAAAAAAATGCATTACTGTATTACATAAATACCTGTAGGATAATTTCGACGTTGATCAGAGATGTTTCTACTATAAAACTAAACTTGAACAAGAGCCAACACATCACCAGTCCATGTAAAATCCATCCTGTTTTGATGAACAAAGCACGTCACATCACAGAGGCAAGGGCAAGGCATACTTGGAAATTCACATCATTCCAAGAAAAACAGTAAAAATACACCATTCAGTAACTTTGACAGCTGGAGGCAAGATCCACTATCTTCCTTTATTACTTTCTTCCAAGAAGAAGAGTAAGAAACCAGATTGCACAGTTGATATGATGATTCATCTTTGAAGGAATGATGTAAAGCACTAAAAGAATAGCTGGAAGCTAAGCTATAGCTGCAGCATCTATTTCTAGCATCTACTTCTATCTATCTTTGAGTATAAGAAACATTTGCTATCTAAAAGCTATCTAGAAAGACAGTAGAACAAACCCATAACTTAAAACAGCTTGAAGCTAGGTACAGCTTCTATTATTACCTTCTGTTACAGTTGTATAGGAAAGAGTCATTTCCATAACAAAGCTTTGCGAGGAATTCTCCTATGGGCAACTACGCAGCACGCTTCCCACAAGACAGAATAAGCGCTGACTTATCAGCACTATCCACACCTCCAAAGGATCACGCCTACTTGCACTGGAAATCCTATGAGGGACATAAAATGTATATTCTCCTATTTCCTTGTGTACTTAACTGTACCAAACGCTTCGTCTGTTGATTCAGCATCATTCACCTTCTTCGAAGCCACCCCTTTGAGAAGAGAATAGCTTTACAGGTGGGCTGAATCAGAATAATAGGAATACCTTTAGGGCATAAGATTATGTACAGTACACATAAATCCTATCTCCCTCAAAAATACCTCTATCTACACACAAATATAAGACTGCTGTAAATTGTACATGTTGACTACAAATGTAATGGAAGAAACCTTGCTGATAAAGATGAAAAAAGGGATTCGCATGCTTGAGAAAGAATGATAACTAGCTTTAGAAAGTCCTCAAGACACCCTACAGCAAATTGTAAGAAGCCTTGCTTTTATAGCAGTATATCAAGAAGAAGAAGCATGATATTACCTGTGTTCGCCTTAAAGCCTCTTGAAGAAATGAGCTCTGGTGCATCCACGTCTTCCGTCCTCCCCGCACCAACTGTAGTCATCAGTGGGCAGACCTGTAGCGAGGTAAAACCGTGATGTAATATCACAGGCAAATATACTGCCGAAGTGGAGCATTACTGACACTCGAGCTCCTATATTGCCGCATGAAAACCTTGGATGGACTCTCATATCCTGCCATTTATAAGGCTAAAGACTGCACGATCACAGCAGTGCGCTCGGATCGGAAGACTCACAAAAATCCCAGGTGCCCATTTCCTGCTTTCTTATTATTGCAGGTCTTTCTGCGAGCTCGCAATATCAACTGGTTGGTATCACCAGGCTGATTGGCTAATGCATCTTGCTTAAGTGATCGTGGTTCGATGTCCTGTTTGTGAAAGCCTTGCAGCCTATCAAAGGTGGGCGTAGATTGGACATTAGCTTCTAGACTAGCAGGTTTGAATAGAAACCACATTACAGTTCAGCTTTCACCTGACTTGGCGTCAATAGCTGTCCCTAAAAGCTAGCCTTGGATTTGGGAATAGGCGTGAATTTCCTGCAATCTGAGTTTCTTTTCGTATCAAGACCTCGGTGCACGGAAGAAAGAAGGTGTGCCTTTGGTGTCACTTATTTCTACTTTCCTATACAGACACACATTAATGGCTTTGGGGATATTATTTTGAAATAGTCCCTGTGCAGTGATGAATGTATGCATTTTGTACATCGTCGTAAACCGTGAAATCCCGGCATAACAGCCGTGCGGACAGATAGCACACAGTAAAGGAGAGTTTAACATAATAAGAGAGAAGACATATACCTCTGCTGCCATTTCTTCTGTCTTATCTACTCAAGCTTACACTGAGTGATGGGCTAATTTTGCCTCTACACATGAAAGGCTTGCCAAGCATCTGAAAGGATCTGACTACACTTTCAAAACAAGTCTCTCTATATATGCAATGCACATCTTATTCAGGCAAAACTCAAGAAAGTGCTCCATAGAAATGATCCTACTTGCTATTGGATACCCGCAATTACCTTTTTTGTTACCTGGAAACAAAACATGTACAATAAACATTTCTATGAATACCAAGAATTGTTAAAAAATTTAAGTATGGAGTTTTGAAGAATCAGCAACTTGTAAGTTAACATGCAGTAGTAAAAAATAGGCTATAACTACAAGAAATTACCTTTCAGATTGACTGAAAACAAAATATGGACAAAGATTATTTCTAGAAATATGAGAAATTTTGCTTAAAACCGTAGGATCAAGATCAGCGTACATATTCCTTTTGGTGTAAGCGCCATCATATGTAATCACTCTCTTAGGGCACATCAAGCTACTGGATATCAAGTCTTTTAGGATATAATAGGCTTGAATGTTAGTTTTTGGGAAACATGTAATATTGCCCTAGGGTAAAAGTCTTCTGAATGTTAACTTTGCCCATCCCTCATAGAGTCAAACAACTGGTCGTACAGTATAATTTGGTCGTCGATCTCTTTGGTGTAAGTGCCATTGAATTCTCTCTCTCTCAAATGTCACATCTATCATATAATCCTTCGCACAGTTTTTCCTGTCTGCTCACTCCAAAAGACAGGTTGCCTCAACGTAATGACTCCGCAAGCAACAAGGTGTAGCAACGTGATAATACTGGACTTAAAAGCATAATTTTACAGTGAAGGCCTTAGGAGAATGCTTTAGGCTATGCTATTGAAAACACCAAGAGAATGTTTCATTAATTACACCATGAATGGATAGAGGGGAGTGATAAAATAGGAATGAAATGGGTATACACTAGACTGAAGTCAAAGGAGTGTCATTTATTACATTGTATATCCAAGGGGGAGGCAGTAATGAAAGAGCTGATATATGTTTCTGTCTTTTTCTGTAGGTTTCACCACTTATTTTGTACAGCCATTGAAGAAACACTTTCTCTGGACAGTCTTGCCACAAAAAACTGGTACCCTGTGTTAACTGAGACATAAATTTGCACAGACATACTAATGTCATACATCTCCTTGCTTTCACCATTCTTAAATTGGAGTACAATAGCCAAGTATAGTTTATAACAATATAAAATTCGAGTATAAATAAAGGCACAAACAAACAAACAAAGCAGCTTATAATACTGTTCTTGATATCATATACAGCATCTCCCATAGACAAAATGAGAAATCACAAATGCACACACACAGAGAGATAGAGAGAGAGAAAGGCATGCCATTAATAATACTAATTAACTCCCTGGGGGTAAAGTAATTAGTACCATCATGATTAATAAAGCCTCAGAGGAACTCCTGTGGTTAGAGATCTATCCTCAACCTGGCCACTTTCAGCACAGTAATCACCAAGAGCCAAATCCCCCACCACAACAGCAGGAAGCATAGTGAGAGGCACTTGAGGTAAAACCTGGCTAGTCTTGTAGAGTGGACACACTTGGCAGGGCTCACACAAAGCCAGTAGTATCCAACAAACAAACAGGGAAACCATCTCCTTCTTCTCTCTTTATCCCACATCTAAAAACGTCCCACCTCAAGGAGATCGACCTTGACAAGTTCTATGTACCAAAAATGTCAGATCCATGCCCAATTGACTTCCTTTGCAGACTGGGGTTAGCGGGCCTCTTAAGGCCATTATCTGTCTTCCCTAGCTTCATTGAAATGTTTGGTATTCTAAAGGTAGAATTCACCACACAAAGGTGTGTTGTATGTTGTTGTTTTTCCAGAAAGGCACAACCACTAGAAAGATGGTTTCCCCACAAGTGCTTGGCATTTCTTAAGTCGGCTGTTGTTGCTCTAGACGAGATGAAAATCCCACAACGAATCCTGGGTAAGGGCCCATGTACAGACACAGTCTGCTGGCCACACCCTTTAATCTAAACTACAAGAGACCGTAATCTGGTTTTCAAACAAACAGAAGTTCTCACTTTCAGTTAAGCTCCCCAGTTTCCCCAAATCTGCCTTTCTAACAGCTGCGCAAAGCTTATCTTCTGCTAACTGTAATGAAAAGACTTTAACGCCCAAATCCCAGAGAAAAGTCACCCAGCTTTCTATTAGTAGGGGAGGAATCATGTTTTCCCATTAGATAACAAATTGGGATAGTCTGTCTACCCATTATATAGATTCCTACAGATGTCTACAAATGATCACGGTGCATGGGCTCATAACGTTACAGTTACGTCAACGAGGCATGGGACAAAATACAATAAATCAACACTCTAGCCTTTTACTTAAATCAAAGGCACTGGCAATGTGTTTTCCTTTTATTCCAGTCAACTACAAAAGTGCCTGAACATCCTTTCCTTTTTGAAAGCTCACAACATAATGTGTATATATAAGTCAATGAGGTATGAGCTTAAGTAGTAAAGTCAATACTCCAGAGGATGTAGATCAGTGAAGGTGTTTGAAGTCTTCAATGAGACGTTTCTTGTTTTTCTCTAACAACATTCCCTGGGAAAGTTTCCCCATGAGCTGACTTTCATAAACCGTAACAACTCGTCAGAGATTATTTGCTGACAACAACCTACATGCTCTACTGGTGGTGGGAAACATAGCCTACATATCAAATGTTGGCCCCTAGCATCCCATTCTCAAACTGCAGTCATATGGTTATATATCAGGAAGAAAGACCCATCTTCAGATACGCCAAAAAACAGTTACTCAAGCAACTGGATATGATTTTGAAAAATCAAAATCATATCCAAATCATATCCAGTTGCTTGAGTAACTGTTTTTTGGTGTATCGTATTACCTGGATGTCTAACCTTCATCGACGTACCCATCTTCAGATTTAAAAAATCTTAAGAATCTACTGAAAGCAACATTCAATTTTTGTACTTATTCTGTAACAGCTTCGTCATCGAGTATTCAACAGCTCACTGATTCCCATTCCACCCATGCGCTCCCCAGGTCGTGCTGTTCTCACCGGAGCTTGCTTGATGAGTCTGTGTAAGCCCCGTATAGTGATGCATACCTAAACCCAATTTTAGGTTCAGGTCCGGATTCAAGTCCAGAGGTTCAGGTTCAGTTCTGAAGTTGTAAGTCTGGACCTAAACCCATGGCATATACAAAATTGCATGTTGGCAACCTTGCAATGTTGTCTGGGTGAAACTTTGGCCACTTAACATGGAGGCCGGTACTTGACGATGCCCGATGGCAACGTTTTCTTCATTTTGCAGCAAAGATTTTGCAATCTACGGAAGTTTTTAGGTGGTTTGGAAAGAAAAGGGGTATGTGAAATGGTCTTTTATGTTAATAAGTCCGGACTCGGTTCTTGACTTCTAGGTTTTTTTGGACTTGAACCTAAACATTCTTACAAGTCCGGATCCAAGTCCAGTGAACCGGTATGCACCACTATCCCCAGGTCGTGCTGTTCTCACCGGAGCTTGCTTGATGAGTCTGTGTAAGCCCCGTACCTTCTCCCCATTACACACTTGCTTGCTGACCTGAGAGACAAGATAATCCAAGGCCGCAGGACGGCTCCAACCAGTAAATTCCGTGGCTCGTCAGACCACCTGATCTCCAAAACACCAGCACTCCAATCAATTGACCTGCATACACCTTTCCTCCTGTCCATACTTTATCACTAAGACCCCCATTTAGACAGGGGACGGCTAAAGCGGGCTAGATGAGCGTTCTGAAGAAGCTAAGCTCTTGGAGGCATACGTCGGGTCAATTCTTGAGAGGTCATACCCTGTTTCCAAATTCTATTCTTGGACTTGGGCCAGGAACCCATTCCAAGTGGCAGTAAATGTTTTTTATTTTCAAACCAGAGCCAGTGTAACTGTACGTTTTCCTCAAAACTATCTCAACTTCTCTGCATGTGATGCGGGCATCAAGCCTTTGTCATTTGTCAAAAATGAGGATTTTCAGGATACACTCACATAAGAAAACTGTGTTCAAGATTATACTATGCCAAATACTATGCTATACACTGACCGTTTCCAAGAACGATCCTAAAGGTCTCAATTTGTAGTCTAACTAAAAGTAAAACTATAAAACTGCAAATGCTCCACCATGCTCAACATCAACATTAATTTTAACCCTCCCAGTACCAAAGATCCAGTCATAAAGCATACAG